TAGCAAGAAGCTATTAGGTTGGAGGCCATCGCTACTAGTAACAAGGGAATTACTAGTAGTAGCAAGAAGCTGTTAGGTTGGAGGCCATCGCTACTAGTAGCAAGGGCATTACCAGTTGCAAGAAGAAGCTAGTAAAATCAATCGAAAATTTCTAGAGTCGACTCCTCTAATGAAGTGCAAACGCCCACGTGGACCCTGATATTTGACCCGTAGTTTCTCCTCCAATTACAACCCAGTGGCTTGTGATGTTTTGGGGTTCCATGTTAATCTGCACGGGGTGCACTTCGTTGTGACGCGAGGACTCGTCAAATCCCTCGAATTCAAGGGTGTTGAGGTCAACTGGGTCAACTGGGTCCGGAGATTTAGCGTGACCCCCTGCGCGGTCGCAATGAGGATCTGCCAGTCTGTCCACAGCACTGCAATGAATGCAAAGGGCATGTAACCAGGACCCCAGAACTCACAAGGGGTGTAGCTGATGGAAACCCCTTGACATCCAAGGGTCTATCAATAGACACCTCTTGGGGGCTCCAAGTAGTTGAGTTGGATCCGGCATACATGTTCCTGTAATGACCTGGCCCAACCAATCAGCGCCAATGGCAGCTGAATACCAAACAAGTGGCAATCGTTTTGTACCGGTCACCCCGGCCCAATCCACCCTCCCGTCCCCACTTGGCTTGCTGACAAACTCAAGGATGCCAAACTCAGCGCGGCGACCAAGATCTTCCACCTGTTTTTGCTGGTCAGGAGCCTGTTTTGATCCAAGAACCTGGAGTCCAATGATCTTAAACAGCTACAATTAGTTGGTTTGTGAGTCAACCCCGTCGCACCAGTCGCTTCTGCTAGTTCGATTCGATCACATTTGAGTTTTGAGGGACCACAGTGACGCAAGTGTTTACCGATTTGATGTGTATCGGGTGTGAAGGAGGTTTTTGTGGTGGTATGACCCAACCAGCATAATTCCAGAATGTTTGCAGCAGCTACGATAAGATTCTTTGAATGTGTTGTGCAGGGCACATGCTCTTGTACCTCCTAAAAACTTGCAAAAACCATGCTTGGCTGGCTTTCAAGTATACAGACATGATGCACGTCGATTGATCCTCAAGTTGCATGAAAAACACTCAAAGGGAATGTATTACATGGACCATTACATGGCTGATGTACGAATTCCCACAATTACCCTGGCAGTCAAACAGCCTTCTGACATGGCGTGCCTTCCAAAGTTCATGTCCACCTTCAATTGAGTAGATGGGACCAACCCACGGGGCACTCAACACGGCTACTTGAGACGGCTGTGTTGACCTAGGAAAATACCTTGGTTGACCTACCGACGTGACGGTCAAGTGGTGGACCCGGCGCTCCAGGTTTTCAACCATTCCCACACATATTAAGTCAGACCCCATAGGGAGTACCATCCCATCCCTGTGGGGATCAACCTCATCCCATCTGTGCTCGATCCGCTCGGTGGGAAGACCCGAAAAGTGTTTCAATCTGCTCAGGGCGGCACAGTCGCTGGAAGACTACAAGCCTGGCACAGGGCGTCTCAGGCTTCACTCAAACATCAACCATCAGATACAAAACAAAACAACATTACATCATCTGGCAAACAGGTCGCGTGAGCCACAGCGCTGTTGGTTCCAGCTGGAACCCTAGGTTTTACTGTAGCCCCTTCTGTGACCAGAAAATCCGCCGACCCCGATCTAGGATGATGAACGTGAGCGGGCCGCAGGCCCGCCGTCCTTCCGAACACGCCGTCGCGTGACCCAAAAATTGCCCAAACAAACGCCACACAAAAAATTGACCATCCATTCATGTGCATGCAAATGATTTGCTCGCTTCGGACCGTCACTTTTTCTCTGAAAAGCATTGGGTCGGACCGCGAGACCCAAAAGCATGTCAGACTTCATCTTACGACTTTAGGTCTGCAGCCGCACTACGTTTTGAGCTCGTTGCCAGGAAATTGTGCCATCTGTACATCTGAGGTCCGGACAGGTTCGGCTACGGTTCAACTGCTTCAACTGCTGTTTTAGTTGGCAACGGCTCGCAAGCTGGTTGCCTCTCACGAAATTCTGCTATGGACGCCTCCATCGGAGAACACTAGCCAGGTAAGTTTCAACTGCTTTGACCGCTTCGACTAAGTGATCCCGTGCAAGTACAGCTCCAGCCCTAAATCATCCGTGCCAACCAAACCTACCCACTGCTTTACATTGTGTTCAAGTGCTTACGAGGCCTATGCTTTTGGAACATCAGTCAGTGTAAGCCACAAAACCACGAAAATTATTCCGAGTTTTCCCATTAGGAGCCAAAAAGCACTATAAATACCAATGTATGTAAACCTCGGCAAACAAAAAGCACGGTAATTACAAAGGTTGTTTGCATTGGGCGCCCAATAGCATAGTCAATAGAATGTTTAAAAACATCGGCAAGCCAAAACCACGATATTTACAAGGTGTATTGCACCAGGAGCAAAAAGCAATAGGTGTTTTCCCTGAGTCTTACATTTCTTATGTCCAAAGCACGGGTATCGGCGCAGTTTTCAGCATGTTGCTAGCGATATCTAGCGATTGCACGTTCACTAATTGCAAACACACTAATAATTTGCACGACATGCTGCATGGACAAGATTGACTCATTCCATGACGTCAACTTGGACAAACTGGTTAAGTGCATGCTGCCACCAACACTCTCTTTGAACTTTCATTGACCTTCATTGATGACAAATGATGAGCTTTCATACCACGCCCATCAACCAAATCACTGAGCTTTCATACATTTCACACCACGCCAGGACCCTCTAAACTTTTAGACTTAAAACCTTTCACACCACACAACCACTAAAGAAGGTCTTCCTTCATCAACATGTTCATGTCAGGCCGATATGGGAGATCTATGGCAATGAGTGGTTGTTTGTGAAGCTGTGTGTCTGGACCCCTTGGATGGGAGATCCACGGAAGTAAGTGGTAAGTTTGCGGAATTCCAGTGTAAAGTGTGGATGGGAAATCTAGGGAAATGAGCGACTTGTTTGTGGAACTATGTCCGTGAAAAGTATGGATGGAACATCTTTGGAAACGAGTGATATGCTCATGGAACTATGCCACGTGTGTGCAAAGTATGGATGGACATGAGCTGTTTGTTTCTGGGATAAAATGTTGAAAAGTCTGGATCGTACCTTTTGCATGCACCATGGACATGCGCATGTATGAAGGAGGGAGGAGAAGCTGTGATCTTCATCTATTTGAGTCATGAAATATCATGTAGCATGACATGATTTTGAGTCCATCGTTGGTTTATCCTCCGGCAGGTGACGCCAGCAGCTGCTGTGCGCAGGAAGGACCGGCGTGGGAGAGGGTGGATTACTGCAATTCTATGCAAAAAGGACACTTAGCAAGTGCTGTAACTGCAAATAGTTAAGTAGGCGCGGCTAAACGCTTTTATATACATATATATATATATGTTGCATATGTTTATCATGTACACCAGCTGTCTACGTAGCCTACGGACCTTCAGGTATACGGTGTACTGGCAAATAAACTTGGATCCGCTGAAAAACAAATACAATCTGGGCAGGGGGGATCCAAACACTCCACCTTAGTGGACACATCATGTAACCGATCCGCGAATTGGCTTAGTAGCAAGAAACTACTAGTAACAAGTGCATCGCTACTAGTAGCAAGTGCATCGCTACTAGACAAGAAACTATTAGCAGCGATGTTCTGCGAATTGGCTGCGTTTTGGGATTCGATGACGACTCGATCAACCGTGCCACGTGTGGCTTTTCCTGCTGCTTGCGTTCGGCCAAGGTCTCGATCAAGGAGGACCTAGCATCGAAGAAGGGCTCGTTCGTCTCTCTCCAGAAAAACAAAAAGGACTTACAGACGAAAACACAAACATACATCATCTCTATACCCAAAACGTGTGTGTGTGTCAACCCCTGTACCTAAGGGTTCCACCTCACCGTTTGCTTTTTGAAGTTTTTTCAGCAGGGGCGTCAGGCTCGATACACCTACCTGACGCAACGAAGCTCTGGTGTATCGAGGATGGGTGGACTGATCATCCACCTGTACCTGCATCGTGACACTACTCCAATTTTCCCGCTGTTCTTTGGTTTCATGGTCCTTGCACGATAGACCCCTAAACCCTTTCCTGCCGAAGTGTCGCTCCGCCACCGCAGCTTGCCGCGCGAGAGTTTGCCAGCTGAGTACAACCATTGTTCAACCTTTCAAGTGAACTGATTTTCTCGCCTTGCTGTTCCCTCACCTTTTTCCACTTGGGAATTGAGCTAACTGAAAACCAATGTCAGAGTGTGAACCGCTCAGCCAGCCCACTTGGGTGCTGGGTGTGTTCCCCGTCACTGGGGCGCTGAAGCCATGCTGGAATTCGTGTAACAGACTTTTCGGATTTTTCATTCCTTGGATTTTCTTAACTGACTTTTCACCACTGGATTAACTGCTCCAATAGCCGCCGGGCTTGTCCGGCTTGTACGGAGAATGAACCCAAACGCGGCTTCTACCCCAAACACCCCAACCCCTCCCACCCACTAATTAGGGTAACAAATGGAAATGGTACTCGGCACACTTGTGTGTCGGTGCCTTTCCCTCTGCTGTCCCTTTTCTAGTCTTCTCTACCCGGGCGGTCTAAGACTAAAGTCCCGCTCCCTAACTAACTATTGCATTTAATTCACTTCCGCTAAGTAATCAGTAATTCTAGAGTGCTAAGTATTCATACACACACACACGGACACACACACACACATGTACATACACCTCCCTGCCCCCCCACTTTCCTTCTTGCGCTTTTGGTCGTTTCTTGGGCTTTCTCTCAGGCTTTTTAGGTTGGTCTTGAGGATCGTTTCCCTACCCCAGTCAAGGGCTAAGTATTCACTTTTTTCTACTCCTACCTTTCTCTCTTGCCCTCTTAGCGCTGCTCTTTCTGTGTTTCTTTGTCTTTCTTTTGTTTCTAAGGCTTTCTAGGTAGGGCTCGAGATTGCCGCTCTAGTAGCGGAACGACTTAGGGCCCCAGATCTCGAATAGAGATCGCCTGTTTGACGCCATAGGTTCACCCTCGTGGCATCGCAAACTTCGGAAACAGAGGCAGCGGCTTAGGTCCTATTTGCGACTGCACCAAGGAAAGCTCCTTCCTTCTGGAAAAGTACTTGGAAAGTTGCTGTTTGCCAGAAGAGTGCTGGCTACGCATCACACTAGGACCTGGTATTCTCTCAAAGCTATAGCTCTTCGTGAGAACATGCCATGGGGGAAAGGCCGACAGCAGCAATGGTCTACGTGGGAGTCTTGGAGTCAGACCCCACAGAAGAAGAATCGCAAGTGGCAGAAAGACCTCGACAAGGAGCCAGCCTTCTACGGGTACGATGGAGAAAAGGTAAAGGTAGAAGATGCTGCCGATCGTACTTTTGGCCGGTCCTCTGCTTTGCCCTCTTCGGACAACTTGCTCAAGGACGAGAACAAGCAGCTCAAAGCTGCCATGAAGTTTGTTCTGGAGAATATGAATGGCAAGGTGGAGATTCCTGCGGATATCCAGGATTTGGTGAAAGAAGATCCTCGCGAATCCTTGCGAGAGCGACAGAAGGCTCTCAATCAAGAGAGACGTGGATTGAACCGCCTGGAGAAGGTCAAGGAATCGATAGAAAAGGAAGAGGGCAAGTTCCGCTCATGGAAGGAGTGGATGAGCCAAGGATTGAAGCAGGAGGAGAAGAGGCATGGAGATGCTGTGACTCAGCTTCAAGAGCAATTGCGCTCCCTGGAGCGCCAGAGGGATGGTGTGGACCTCGTGGAGGTGGATTCGGAGTCGGATGCCGAAGGAGTCAAGCCTGCCATTGTTCACTTGGAAAAGGAGCTTGCTGGGATGCGACAGGACTTCAAAGACCTCACCACCTATACTGCACAGCTCGAGCATCGCAATTATCAGATGATAGACAACATGCATTCGCAGATGATGACTATGCTTACCAAGCTTGCAGACAATGGATCGCTCCACACAGATGCTCTTCGCAAGTCGCCGGAACAGAAGATCCACCCCAAAGGGGAAGGCAAGATTCCGATGATTCTCACGCCCGAGAAGCCAGAGAGACGTGGTCGCTCCAGATCACGAGGTCGAGGAGGAGGTGGAGAGACCGAGAGGAAAGGGCTGGAGAAAGAAGATGTTCATGCTGGATTAAAAGAGAAGCTGAATGGGCTACCAGAGGTTTGTCAGGCAAAGATCCTAGGGATCTTGAACTCCAATCTGGACAGCTACACGACTTTCGACAGTGTGGACAAACTCATACAGGAGGTGATGGCGTCATTCGCTGCTGCTGGCCCTCCTGGACTGCTGCCTGTGAAGAAAGAGCAGGAAGAGGAGAAGGTGACTCCGAAGAAGAGAGTGAGGGATGCCCTTCTCCCATTTGGAGGCAGTGGACCGGTACCCAAGATCGACGCCGACAGTTCGCCTGGACAGGTAGCGGCATCCCATGGACCCATTTTGCCGGGGAATGCTACGCCAGGTGCTATGAACGACATGGAATAGAAGGCATCATGGCCTTTCAAGTTTCACGAATTGACCTAGAGGATACATTTGATGCTGTCTCGGGTCGAGAGCTATGTGGATGGAAGGACTTTCGGCTCCTTGTGACTGGGCAGAAACAGTATGGCAGAGATGGGCTGAGCTCTGCTGGTGCCCTTGCTGGAGATGGTCCTTTCCTTTTTGATAGTATTGTGCCCCATGAAGAGATTGGGGGTATATGTAGAGAAGTTCCTGGGTGGATGCTTCGAGAAGATGATGCTACCCTGAGCTTCAAATATCAGGATTCCACTACTAGGGGGTGTAGTGGTCTCGTTTCTTTCTTTGCCATTTCGAGCGGCTTCATTCCGAAAATCTTTGAGGGTTCCTGTTTATCCTGGACACACTGGCTTGTTGGACGGGCCAGTGACTTTTCCATTTCTGGGGTTGATTGGACTCTGATGGTGTGTCAATTTATGCTGCCTATATGGGCTTTTGCTCTGGTCAGTGCGATGTATGAAGCCTCGGATTTCTGGCATACACGAGTGCATGGAAAGTTGTATACCTGGCCGGCTATTTCAAGAATCTCTGGTATCATTGGATGGCTTTCCATCGCGGTCTTCATTAATATGGCCTTCTTGGAGGCGGCGCCGAAGGATGAAGTGGAAGAAGGTGGCAGTGGTGTGCATATCCTACTAGGCCTCTTCCGAGTAGTTCTTATGATGCTATGTCTCCTGGTGGCAATGGTGCTTCTCAGGTGGCGAGAGCAACATTACCCACGCTTTCCTTTTTCTGCACGAAGATGTGGAAGGAGGCGCTTGTTGCTGAGGTTGCATGGGAAGGCTATGATGACAAGAAGTTTTGTTGCCCTCTTTCTTTTGGGCAATCTTGTCGGGGCTGAATTTGTCACAGCCAACCAACATCTGCAGCATATGCAAGACGCTATTTCTTTGGCTCCTAATGCTGCTGATTATGATGACAGGGATGCCTCTTGGTCTTGTGGGCACTCTGGCGAGAACTCAGGTTGCTTGTTCCTGGCAGAAGACTTTCGATCTAGACCCGGTTTTGGAGAATTTTGTTGGGAGGGCCATGACAATGTTGGCTTTCTTAGTGACCACGAAGTTTGTCCACTCCAAACTGATGAAGGATCTGCTCCCAGACACTACCAGATGCCTGGTCGAGCTGCAAATTCGGATGGCCCAAATTTTGTTAGGGGAAGATTGACATCTGATCGCCCCTATGTGATTGGGGAATATCAACAAAAGATTACTGAATGTGTTTTTCCAAAGCAAGTACCTCATGCCGGAGCGATCGAGGGTTTGATGCTAGTGCAGAAGTCTCTGACGTCTACCATGCAAACCCGATGTGGCCCGGCTTGTCGACAGGACTTGCTGCCTGGGGATGGCTACCCCTTTTGTTTTCGTCCAGTAGGCCTTGTGTCTTGGTTTGCAGAACCATACCCGGCCGCGGGTACTGAATGGAGACACCGAATTGCTACCTCTGAGCATTTTGGTGACTTGGGGGCCTTCCTTAATGATGTCTGGAGAGACAAGTGCAGACAGAAAGAGTGCTCATATGTGTCAGTGCGACCACAGCCTCCGACTATGCTGAGCAGTCCGATTGATATGTATGTCATTCTGTTTGTGCGTTCTTCGATCTACTCATGGGTTAACTTGGTCCAGAAGGTGACTCTTGGTGATAGGCAAGAAAAGTATGAATACTATGCTATACACTTCCGAAGCCGCCGTGAGTGGACTAGCTTTTGCCGAACCTGTCGATCTCTGGGTTCTGTAAGTGAGGGCAGACCCTGCCCATGTCATGGAGCAATGCTTGTACTCAGAGATGATAGCCTTCTACAGGAAGATCCCACAGAGATGAAGGTTGGGACTGATGATATTAATGTGCTCATGCAAACCCAGATGCATGCGACGTTAGCCCCTGGGCCGCTGCGGCGAGATGCACTTAGCAGCTATGTATTTGCACATGCAGGAGGCCAAGCGCCCATTGAAGTGATAGCTTGGTGTCATCCAAGAGCGGCGGTAGGGAGTTTCTCGGTTTTTGGTCATGTTCTTGTGTGGCCTCCAGCGACTGAGCTTAAGCCTCTACTGCAGCAGCATTGGGATCGGAATTTCGGGGTTGGTGAGCTGATCGTACCGGTGCGACCGATTCCATGGTACATTGATCAGGCCATAGCAACGCTGATCCTGCTACCCATGCTGGACGAATTGCATCTGCCGATTTTGGTTGATTTGACCACGCCAGGGACGTACATGAGAGGGACTTTTGTGGTGTTTGCGCCCCGAATCCTCACCACGCTACAGTTCCT